AATTACATTTGTGCTTTAAGAGCGGGCGACGACTCAACGGAGATTAATGAACGTCCCCCAGCCACGGCGAGCAGAGTTCACCGTCGCGGGGCGGACCCGAGGTTCCCCGGGAGGCCGCGGGTCATGCGCGCTACGCCCAGCACCGCGGCGCAATAACCCAGCCGAGGCGGAACCCCCCCCCCCCCCACACACCACCCACACCCCCCCCCGGGGGGCTTCCCGACTCCGCGGAACTGAGCGCGCGTGAATAATGGATGGAGAGATTGGGGGCCCCCTGGCCGCGCTGAGACGTGAGCCACAGCTGGGCACGTGGCCTGCCATATGTCACCCGGCACCACCACCACCCTCCCCCCCCGCCCTGCCACCCGTCGCAGCAACCCCGCACCCCCCACCCCATCCCTCCCCGCTACCCTCCCGAACACTCAGCTCGTCACTCACCCCTATCCTCCTGGAATCAAACACACCCCTACTCCCTCCCCTCCCTGACAGCCACACCCTCCCCTCCCTCATACCCACACCCTCCCTCATACCCACACCCTCCCTCATACCCACACCCTCCCTCATACCCACACCCTCCCTCCCTGATACCCACACCCTCCCCTCCCTCATACCCACACCCTCCCTCATACCCACACCCTCCCTCCCTGATACCCACACCCTCCCCTCCCTCATACCCACACCCTCCCTCCCTGATACCCACACCCTCCCCTCCCTCATACCCACACCCTCCCTGCTACCCACACCCTCCCCTCACTGATACCCACACCCTCCCCTCCCTCACACCCACACCCTCCCCTCCCTGATACCCACACACAGATATCTTTACTCTCCTTGTTACACACAAACCAACCCCTCAACTCCGCCTTTGTCTCCCTCGTGGCGATGAGTGGCGATGTTTACACATCGCCACTCATTGCAGGTTCAGTCGACCAGGAACGGTTCAGATAATATAATCTAATATAATACAATCTGTCACGAGTGTTGCCCCTGAGCAGGAAACGAAATGGTAGAGTAAACGCGCTAACCACTGCGCCACCGCTCCCAACACACCGCAGAACACCCATGGCCTCACGCACACCGCTCCATCTCACACTCCCCCTGCTCACACTCCCCCTGCTCACACCCCCCTGCTCACACCCCCCTCTGCTCACACCCCCCTGCTCACACTCCCCCTGCTCACACCCCCCCCTGCTCACACTCCCCTCTGCTCACACCCCCCCCCACCACCACCAGCCTCTCCCCACACCCCTCCCTCCGGACAACTCTGCCGGTGCCATGGAAACGCTGCCACTGGGGACCCCACGTGTGCACTAATTAACGCGCGGAGTCCGTCTATTTATATCATATTTACTCGGCGGGGCGTGGCGGGGCGGGCCGAGGGGCGGGGCGTGATGAGGGGCGGGGTAGTGGGTGGGAATCGGTGGCGGTGGAGATGGAGCGAGTGCAGCCAGGATGGAGCTTTTGTTACAGAACATTCATCGGCCCTCGGCTCCTCCTTTGGGCACCTCCTCCTCCTCCTCCTCCCACTGAGCACCAACAGCAGCAGGAGGATTGACTCAGCCCTGGGAAACCACCTAACAAACCACGCTCATTGCTATTTACATCCAATAATAATAATGATCTCTCTCTCTCCCTCTCTAACCAGGAACCCCTCAATGACGTTAAAGACTCTTCATCAGAAGGGGCGCCCAACCGGGGGTGTTTCTTGTTATCTTCTTCCCAAAGTAATTAATGGTCGTGTGGTCACGTGTCAAGGGCACGCGCGACATCTGCGGCGAGCCAATGCACGGGTGCTCCCAGCCACCGATTCCTCAAATCCACCGCGGCACTGCCATCGTCTGGCCACCTCGCAGCCCGAGTAGCCCCAGCAGTCTCTCATCCCCATTACCAACAGAGCAGAGCTAGGCCCCGTTTAGCTTCCAAGAGGTCCGTTCGAGAATTTGCGCATTCGTGTTGGTTCCACCGTAGACACGCGGTCCCGTTTGTTGCTTTATTTTTGGGGAACATTCTGCTGGAAAAAAAAAATGAAAGAATTGAGATGCCGTACCACATTCACGAAAACGCCTTCCCGATATCTCAAATTGACAGCGAGTGATGGAGCGAGGTAGCCGCTACGCGCTGGGCATTAAGGTTCGGACTCCGGACTGAGGACTCCTTAACCCTGGGGACCGCTCAGAGCTCCGCGGCGCATCCCCCAACGTGGCCGCGTTGGGTGAGGCGCCACGCAATGGGCTACTCCCACCCCGGCACCCACCCGCGCGCTAACCGCATTATAAATGCATCGCTCCGTGATGGGTGATGGTGATTATAAGTCGTCGGCGGCGGAGCGCGCGCGCGCGATCTGCATAACGCGCTCGCCCTGATTAATTTTTTTTCTCCCGCTGAAGATTTAATTCGCGGTGGGCGGCCACGCGGCCTGAGTTGTTTTTGATATTTCCTGGTTGCTGCTGCTGCTGCTGTTGCCGCCGGTGTAAAAAGCGGCACTGATTGACAACGGAGTCTGACTGGTAGCCCAATGGGGCTGCACGCAGGGAGGCGGGGTGAGATGGAGGGGGGGGACGTGAGACCCTCCTCCACTCCTGTTCACCCCCAGCACTCGTCCCCTTCTTCACTGCAGGGGCAGCGCAGGTTCATCCATCACCCGTGCACGCGCCCTGCGCGTACCTGAGCGCGAACACTCTCTCTAGTACACACTCTCTCCAGTACACTCTCTCCAGTACACTCTCTCTAGTACACTCTCTCTAGCACACTCTCTCCAGTACACTCTCTCCAGTACCACTCTATCCTCCTAGTACACTCTTCTCCAGTACACTCTCTCTAGTACACTCTCTCCAGTACACTAGTACACTCTCTCTAGTACACTCTCTCAGTACACTCTCTCCAGTACACTCTCTCTAGTACACTCTCTCTAGTACACTCTCTCCAGTACACTCTCTCTAGTACACTCTCTCCAGTACACTCTCTAGTACACTCTCTCTAGTACACTCTCTCCAGTACACTCTCTCTAGTACACTCTCTCTAGTACACTCTCTCTAGTACACTCTCTCCAGTACACTCTCTCTAGTACACTCTCTACCAGTACACTCTCTCTAGTACACTCTCTTCAGTACACTCTCTCCAGTACACTCTCTCCAGTACACTCTCTCTAGTACACTCTCTCTAGTACACTCTCTCCAGTACACTCTCTCCAGTACACTCTCTCTAGTACACACTCTCTCCAGTACACTCTCTCCAGTACACTCTCTCTAGTACACTCTCTACCAGTACACTCTCTCTAGTACACTCTCTTCAGTACACTCTCTCCAGTACACTCTCTCCAGTACACTCTCTCCAGTACACTCTCTCTAGTACACTCTCTCCTAGTACACTC